TTGCCTGCCTTCCTCAAAGGGGCGCTGCTATGCGTTGAGGCGGCGGCTCGGAATCCTGGCGTGAAGAGAAATGGTGCGCACTCTTCGCAAGGCAACCAAGAAGCAAGCCTCAAATTGGCAAACACATTGCTCACTGCAGTTGCAGATTACTAACACCAAAACGCTCCATGTGTTGTAGACTCGTGAGCAACAAGGATGCGGCGAAGGACCGTGGATTAATACAATGGCTAGATCCTAGTCTGCCAAGACATCCAAGAAGCACCCTTTCCCGCCGTGGCTCTGATTTAGTCTGATAGCTCACTTTGCCAAAAACTCCGTAGAGACACCAAACAATTTGCTTCTGCCGTAACCCGCGGACCCCTTGTCTGCAAGGGCGGGAAGGGCGTCATCATCATCATCATCATCATCATCATCATCATCATCGTCATCATCGTCATCATCGTCATCATCGTCATCATCGTCATCACCCATCTTGTCATTTTCATCATCATCATCATCATCATCATCATCATCATCATCATCATCATCATCATCATCGTCATCATCATCCGTCATAATCATCATTACGCAAGCATACCAAGCAAGTTGCAGGGGGGAGCGCAGACCACCGTGATTCCTGCAGATTGCGATCGATGGATCCACTGACGGCAGGCCTCGTCGTCATCGTCCGAGTCATCTGAATCGCTGCTGCTATCAGCGGCATCGTCCTCGCAAGATTGGGTGAATGATGCGGCAGCCAGGGTGTGGACTTCGGCCCTCTCCAAACAGTTGTAGCCCGACTCACCTCACCAGCCAGCCGGCGCGCACCGTCATGAGCAAAATGGGCACAAACTGCTGACGTCCGATTCAAATTTGGGTATGCCCTGTGTTGCGTTCTTCTAGTGCGAAAAAATGTCGCACTGACGTTGTTCAAATCTCACTATTGCCAACGTACCATTGGCAAGGCTTGATTTTGTTCGGGTGCATTCAAGCCCAGAGCACTCCCTGCATTTCCCTGCTAAACTCTTGAAACCATCCAAAAAGGCGAGTTCTGTAGAGAACCCTGGGCCATTCCCCTTCCGGTCCGAGCTGGGCAGTTCATCGCCTGGGGCATGCGCTTGCTCGGCCGAAGAAGAAAGCACCGCTCAAGTATGCACAGGGCAATGCTCGCAGCATGATCCATCTCACAAGCTGCCCCGACGAACACATCTACATTTGGGACCCAGACTCTCTGGATCATCCTCTTCGTCGTCCTCAGGCACGAACTGCTCCGTCTTCTTATCCTTGCGGCAGTCACACGGCTGCTCAAATGTGCCCCATGCCTGCATGTGAAGCAAATCCTGCTGGTGTTTGAACCTTTTCGGCCGCGAGGCCTTGATTGCACAGAACAGTGCTTGACCAAGCTGGGGGCGCTGCGACATATCATACATCACTAAGAGCTCAAATGAAATCACCCGAAAGGCCCCGGGTTTCTACCCCCAGGCCCACCCTTTCCCGCCTTCAGCGTGAACATGTTCCGGCACTGGAAGTAGAGATGGCCCACAGAGCCACACCTACGAACTTGCAAAGCTGGGGCACAGGGAGGGATCCTGCTCTCTGACGCTCCGTGAGCCTCTCACCGTTTATCTTTGTTGATATGTCTGAACCAGGTGGCTGTGATTTGCTCTCGAGAAAGAAAGAAACTGCTCAGTTCCTGCCAAATACTAACTACTCCTAAAGCAAATGTGTGTTCAGGCTCGCTGGGTAAGACATGTCGCTTCGCCTACTATTGATGAGACACTAAGTGTCGCGCGACCAATGCCTACATCCCTCAGCTCCTTTGTTTAGTCGGTTGCCTTTCGACGACTTCCAAGAAGTCAGCTGGTGCGATCAGTGCAGCCGCACAACTAATTACATGAACGATGTCGATGGCCTTGGTCACAGAGAAGAAAAAAAAAAAAAAGAAGAAAAAAAAGGAAAGAGAAAAAAAACGTTGACACGCGCGCGCGCGCGCGCACACACACACACAGAGGCACACAACCACATAGAGTCTTACAACCGTTGCATTCTGTCCAAGTGTCTAACTAGTGTTATTAGCAGGCGTTGTGGCATCCCGCCGCCGCCTCTTGCAGGCCCCTGGAGAAATAGTGCTCGAATGCCCTGCCAGGATGTTTTGGAGCACGGCCATTGGTCGGGGGTCTGTTGGGTTGAGGACGGCGGGCCTTTTGCAGTTCAGATTGAGTTGGTGGTTTGGTGGTTTGGTGGTTTGGTGGTTTGGATCGCGCGGGATGCGTCGGTATGGAGGCGAGGAGTAAACATGTGGACTGGATTGATCCTAGGACTCGAAGCGACTCAAATGCTCTCGACACACTATTGACATGCCCTTTGCCCAAGAGTCTGGGCTGAAGCTCGGGTCCATGTCACCTTCCAGCCCCAAGACTTCCCTGGCCCAAGTCATGTGCACCAACCTCGGTTCGTCTACCAACGTCCCCAGCCTGTGAGCTGTGCCAGGCGGAAGAGGCCTCTGGCGGACTGGTTGATCTCGCCACCCGTGGCCTGGGCGGAGCCAGTGCGAAGGGATCCGGATGATTCTTCCGGTATTCGACGTTTCAAGGCCCAGTTCAGATCAACTTGGCTCTGTGCCTTTGACAAACTTCCCAGTCCATTTTTGGGGATGCAGCCATGTTCATCAACCTGGACTATTGGACGGGTCTAACTCCTCTTCCGCCGGAAGAAGGCTGGGGCCTCTCCAAGATTGGGATTCCTGTGTTGTGTTTGTCCAAAGCTTACAAGCCAGCATGAAGGGCCCATCCCAACTAAAACCTAACACGCTTCACTCCCCAGCCTCCTGCACATCTTCGTCCTCGCCCTTGTATGGGTCATACTTCACCGCCTGCGCTCGCCGCTATCACGTGCTTTGGCGCTCTTCGTCTTTTGGTCTTTTGGTCATGCCTCTGATTTCCCGTGGTTTGGAGATGTTGGCTGGATCAATGAATCAAATTATCCAAGCGGCAAACAACTATGTGCCATGGCCAATGACGACTCGCGAAGCTTTGATGAATCAAGGCCCAGGTGGAAACATATGACTCAGGTCAACAGTCCAAAAATCAACTTTTGATTGAAGCAAATTGATGCTCACCAGGCTACAGCTTGTCGGTTGACAGTCTCAACTGCGAATCCCACCCGTGCCTTCTGCCAGACCTCTGTGGTCTTGAGGGAATCCGAGGTGCTGAGGCCTCAAGACGCCGTTTCTGGCCCAACGGCATGTGCTAGAAACCCGTGCGTCCTGAGTCTCCTGCGGCTGTCTCCGGAACGCCCGGCGATAGGCATGGCGGCTAGGCCAAACAAACTTGTGAGGAAGGTCCAGAAGGCTCGAGCTTGGGGTGTGGGGTCAAACGCGTTCCGTGCCACTTCTGTACCTCTTGTGCGTGCCTTTTTCAACTCCTTGTGCCGAGGGAATCTCTCGCTTGTCCGCGCTGACTGACATAGTTGAACCCTCTTGCGACCAAGCAGAACATGATGGTGATCTCTTGCCTCGAAGGACAACCCTGAACTTCCACTTTTCCACTTTTCCACGAAGCTAATGACTTTTCACAGCCTCTTACTTGTCCTGGCTGACTTGTGAATACATGTTGCATCTCAAGGAACCAAGCTGAGCCGAGAAGCTGGCCAGCGACATACAACCAGCCCTCGAAGCATTTGCTCGGGGGAACACCAAGAGGTCACAAAAATGTGTATGTGTGTTATTATGGCACTCGCGTGTTAACGTACAGTGCATGCATTGAAACCTGCCCTTCCGCCGCCCTTCCGCAATACTTCCGCCCACTTCCGCGCCCACTGTAAATGCAAGCACAAGTTATCACTGGTTTTCGGTTTTGTTTTCGGACAAAGTTTTCGGTTGATGTCTTTGATTTAAACTCCCTTTTGATTGCCTGTGAAACATCATCCATTTCAAAAACAAGTCCACTATTTCAATATATCATGAGACAAAAAATAACAGTCACAATCAATACATATATGTCACTAGCAATGGCCCTTTCGCGTCTCTTCCGCCACCCTTTCGCGTCTCTTCCGCGCCCACAGCGGGAAGCTCATGCCATGTCTGCCCGGAAACTTGGAATACTAAACCGAATACACAGGCTTTTGCACGGTCCTCATATGTATTCAGAGAACACTTAAAGTGACTGCTCGATACCCGGCCCGACTGTGGAATGAATCTAGATTGTCAATCCGCTTCTCTGTTGAAAGTCTTCCGAGCAATCGATCAATGACTTGCTCGGATCAATAATTTGCTCTATGCAACCTTGCTTCTAGGTGTCTAAGTTGGGCGCAACGTTTGATGCGTCCAGACATGCAGCTGAATGCAGCACGACGAATTGTCAGCCCGGAAAGCATGCGGAAACAAGTCAAAATTCGGGAGCATTCAGTGGACACCGAACAATTGCAGGCTAAGCTCGCAACAGCTAGAGCAGCGGCCATCCCCCATCGACTGGCCTCAACCCTCCCCCGCCGAGCCTACAGCGCTGGCTTCGGCCTGAAGAGCAACAAAGCCCACCACCACTTCACAGCCAGGGCACTGGCGCCACACTGCGTCACTAAACTTCATAGCCCCCCAAACCCAAACACACCGCCAAGAATTGTGTATTTAAGTCTTTCCCAAGAGGACGTGTTTAGGGGGGGGGGGGTTTGGGGGTCCCCTCAAGGGTGTGAGAACTGGGCCAAACAAGTTGATGTGCTCAGGACAACAAAACAATGTGCCTTTTCTCGGCACATGTTTTCCTGAGTAAGGACTCGGACCATATCGTTCACCCCCGGCTCTTCTCTGCCCTCTTCTCGCCTGCAGCTTGAGCCGATCTGCCTTCGTCCTCGCAGGCTCCTCGAGCAAATGACAAAAACAGGCTCAGCCTGAGACCACTTCCAGCTATCGCAATCAAATGGCTCAACCTGACGGCTTGGGCGTCTGAAACTAGCCCTGGGATGTTCCAAGGTGAAAGGAGTTCCAAGCCTTGGCCTTCGGATTCCTCTTTTTTTGATGTCCCCGCCTTGGCAACCTCCTCCCTCGGCTCCGGGGAGGGCTCCCGAGAGGGCTCCCGAGAGGCCTCGCGCGGTGCCTCGCGCGGGGCCTCGCGCGGGGCCTCGCGCGGGGCCTGGCGCGGGGCCGGGGCCTGGCGCGGACTCGGGGCAAGTCTCGTTGGCAATTCCAGTTCAAGGACCCTGTAGACTCTTTAGACTCTTTAGACTCTTTAGGCCCTATTAAGTTCCCCAGAAGCGGGACGATGGCCCAAAAGCCTGCCCAGACTGGTCCGCGTCTTCTACGAAGGTAGAGCGGCTTGAGAGTGATGCGCAACATGAAGTAATGATAGCCAAGATCTGCGATGATGCACAATGCTCATATCGTATGATGATACATCATGGTCGGAGAACGAGCTCATGTCGCATGCTATGCCGCGCATCTTCCGCACACGTTTTGCGGACGGTTGAAGATATCGATGCACACTTGAGTAGCAGGCACCACAAAAGAATGTTGGTGCAGGCTTGCTGCTGTTTCCTTGGCCACAAATGGACGAGAACCTTTCAGGAAGATCACCCAGCTGCAGACATGCGCCACGGTCAGCACATATTGCATGGAGAATGGTCGTTCGCCCACTTAGCTTTCCTGGCATCCTGGCTACCGCAGGTCCACAGCAAGGAGCTGAGGAGTAAATCCCAAAACATCAGTCTTTTGGACCAGTGGAAACTGGGAATAAAAGGCCTAGCCAAAGTCTTCCCCAAAGCCCAGCAACAAAGCCTGAATCTCCTTGGGCTCATCATCCTTGGCATCCTCCTCCTGCGCGCCTGCATCCCAGTCAGTACTCATAGCGGTTGACAAATGCCAGAAGTGGTTTGATCTCGCTTTGGACTCGCTTGGACTCGTGCTGCACCCAATCGAAGCAAATTCAGATTGGGCCATCTCGTTTTGCTGCGCTTTGTGTGTTCTATGCTTTCAAGCTTGCAATACGAAACTCCCCTTGACCATCCCGTTCCGCGGCAAAATCCAAACTTTGTATGGCGTTCTCACCATATCAGAATACTCAGTTGTCAAAGAATTGGTCGGTCGAAAAAAAGAAGAAGAAAAAAAAGAGAAGAAAAAAAACGGTGTTGCCTGCGTGCCACAATTCCAATCTGAAGCCGTGCCTCCCGAGCCTTCCTTTGGCCCCAGCAGCCAGGAGGTGGCAGCTGGCACAGGGCAGTTCCACACTCGGCATTGAAAGGGGAAGCAATCGAAATCCTAGACATGACCGACGTTGCCGTCCCATGGGGCCTTGATTTCTACACATTTTGAGTTGTCCGAGTTGTCTCTGGAACTCTGTTGAACGTGTACCCTATTGATCAAAAAGTACATGCGCAATCAGGTCGAGCTGGTTGGCCGTGCTATCAGCTCGTCCCCCAACTCAAAACTCTACTTGCGTCTGTCCGCAATCAAGCGATATGCTTCCCTTTGGGCAGTGCAAGAAGCAGCTGACTTTGCCTGCGGCCCTCCCTGGACCCTATCTGAGGCATGGCCAATATTTATCGTGTCCCCAACTGACATTGGGCTCAAAATGGTTGCAAGCCCCCAAAATAAGTGTTCCCCAAGAAAAACAAAAGTACCCTCAAAAGCCAAAAGTATAAGGTTGGACCTGTGGCTTTGCTTTTGGTTTCCACCAAAAAATGGGACCAACTCCAAAAAGGGCACACCCGTATGCACGGTCGCACGCACCCTCTGGACTGCCCGGCTGAAACCCAGGATCACGAAGATCAGGATCGCAGCCTGGCTCGTCTCGAATGAAACCCGGCGAGTCTGAGAACAAGGATTCGGTCCCCGAAAGTCGCAACAGTGTCCTTTTGGCTCCCATTAAATTCCCGCCAAAAGGGCCCACCGCTTGGGAAAATTCCCCAGGATCCCCATGGCAAGCTTGAAGAGACCTGCCAACTTGGTCGGCAGCTTATCCGAGAAACATGGCATGAAGTCCCAACAAATGCACATGCGCGCCAATCCTCTTAAGGTAGACTCGCTGGGCCGTGTTAGCGCCCTTGCTTGTGCAGCTTTGGACCATGTGTGTGTGTGCGTGTGTTTGGGCCGCCAGCGACAACTGTGTTGTTAACCATGATCATCGCAGTCCGGGACCATTTTTTGAATGAGAGCACATGAGCCACAGGTACAACACAAAAATGAGCATGGCTTGTTGCATCACTTTTTCGAGAATCGACGTAATCAGGTGCTCGGGCTCTGTGTTCCGTCCGTGCATGTGATGATCTGTCAGCTGGTTGTCCCAGCACTTGTCTGGGAGGTTGCCACTCCTCCTCAGACAAAGAAACTGAAAGTTCTTTCACCCGCCCGCTCAAGAGCCGCTGAAGTGTATGAAGTCTTCCAAACATTTCGGGCGGGCTGGGCGAAGCTTGAGATGTATCCAGCGGAAATCACTGAACCTGTCTTGAAAAAGCAAGTCCCTCATACTACCAAGAGTACGGGCCAAATAGAGCGGCTTCTACATAAACTCGCCCTCCATCCCTCCCGTTCGGGCCTGGAGCCGAAGGTCCACTGAGGCATGATTCTGAAGGCTCTCATAGAACTCCTTGATCCTGACGGAGCTGACTGCTGGTAGCATGGGTGTGTCTTGTTTTGCGACCCCCCCCCCAAGAAAAAAAAACAGGAAAAAACGGTTTTCCATTTGGATTTCTTTGAACCGGGTACAAACTCAAAAAAAGGGAACCGTATAGAATTGCACCCTGAGTCATTGTTCCTGTCAGCGGCAGGTAAAGGAGAGTCCATGCATCCAAAAAGCATCCTGCTCCCACCTGAATGTAGCCAAGCATATTGGCACCTGTTTTTGGAGGGAGCTGCACAAACAACAAATGTCCTAGGCCATTGATGTGCAACTCTGTGTGTGTGTGTGGCCCGGTGATGCAAAAGCATGGTGGCTTCTCCAATTGAAGCTAATGCTAAGCTACAAATTTTGGGAGGAGGAAAAACTTGCTATCTATACCCCCGAGACCCCCAGCCGATTTCGAGGGATTCCAGCTGGACAAACAAAAGAACCCAAGTTAACTTCCAGAGTGCGGAAGCGAGATAGACTAATTGACATACAGCCTCTGTGCCCAGGCCCAACACGTATTCTTGGAACCAATCCTGGAACCTGAAGTGATGCTTGCCGCACATGCCACTTCCGGGCCTGACCCACAGCTCATCCACGGCCATGGCACCAAAACTCTCCAGCGCCCGGCGCTCCCTTTGCTGGCAGGTACAACGCTGTCTAAGTGACACATCCTTTCAATGTTTTTTTCTAGCTCTGCTCGTGCAGATGTGCGGGCCCCTGCCCCCAAACAGGACAGTCCCGCTACACAAGGCTAAGTAAAAACAAGACCGGTGTTGCGCAACGGCGCCCGTGCGTGATGCCTGTGTGAAATGCTTCAGGTACCCGGCTACTCCACGCGGGGAGAATAACCACCGGACCAACGGTATCAAATGCCAACGCATCGCATGCAACTGGCAGCCCATCGCTGGCGCACTTAAAAACCTGCGTGCTTTGAGCCGGCCGAGCGCCCGGGCATCCCTTCTGACACGTGCTTCTCACCAATCTCCGTCGTCTCATCAATGTCTGCAGTCTTGATCTTGGCAAACTGGTTGCTTGCTTTGCATGCGCTTGTGCTGCTCATACACCTACAGACTTCAAGGGAATGAACAAATATGCGGCATGCCGCCAAAACCAGCTAGCTCAAACCAAAGTCGAGCGCCCCAGAACCCGTTGACGGTCGGTTCTACCAACGGCGGTTCTAACTGTTTGTATAGGCCTTACTACAGCCACCAGGAGAACAGGTAGTAGAACCAGCTGCCAAAATGGCCAGCAGGGGTTTGGGCGCTGCTCGATTGTCCCAGCAGGGTTACGAAATCTGAAGCTGATGCCCTGACACCTCATCTTGAGATCCACTTCTCTGCACCGACTTTTCCGACGCGCGTCAGCGAGGCGTAGAACGTGCCACTTCAGGCCACGCCGTCGACCAAGTCGCGAACGGCAGCAACCGTCACCTCGCTATCCCAGCCCAAGGGGGTCATGTTCAGTGCAGGAACGAGGGTCGCGAGTGCCAACGCCTGGTCTTTGTCAGGCAAAAACAAAGCCACCTGAAATCATGGGTCAGCCTCCGCCAAGACATGCTCAAGCAAAGCAGAGTACGGGGGAAAAATGAATTCTAAGTTCTTTTCCGGTAATTCTTTAATGCTCCCCAGTCAATTGATTTGCGCTTGCACAGCTCGAAGCAATTGTGGGTCAAGAATAGGTACTCAAATGAAACCCTGGAAAGGGCTAAAACCTGCGGTCCCCTGGCGGCTCAATTTTGACCCATACCCAAATCGCTCTCCAGCCTCACCCAAGCCACAAAGGCACGACGTGAGGAACGTCACTCCATGAAACAAAGCACATGGACCTGCACGTTCCTGGCCTCCGCCCAGCCAGCGATACCCGGCCTTACAAAACTCAGCAGGATGCACAACTGGGGCAAACTCGCTGGGTGCGTTTGTCTGTTTGTGTGTTTGTGTTTCCTTGTGTTCGTGTGTTTGTGTTTGTGTGTGTTTGTGTGTTCGTGTGTTTGTGTTTCCTTGTGTTCTTGTGTTCGTGTGTTTGTGTT